TACATAATATATTTATCCTTACAATAATTTTATGTCCAGCAAATTATTAATATTTTCATTTCATGCTTGCAATATAAAATTTAACTAGCACGATATTAAAGCTAACTCTAACGAAAGTTCCGTTGTCAAATAATTGCAAAACTCTTTTAATCCCATAAATAATAACGTGGCGGAGCGTTCGTGACCGCATTGACCAAATTTTTGAATTTTGAAATTTATGCATTAATGATGCGCTCAGTATATTTTAAACTGTATTATTGTACTTTCTTTTATAAATTTTAAATTTATGTCTGAAAATAACCACGCTCATATTTCTGTTTGTGGTTTTTCTGATGATATATATTTAAATAGGTGATATTTCATAATTGAAATCCAAACTGTTTTTAAATTCTGTGATTTTTATTTATGCAAGTGAAATGCTTTGCATTACATATGACACATGGATATGTTACTCGTACATGGATTCTTACATAGGACTTTAATGCAAGTATTGTTGCAAGCTGAGTTTCAATACATATTCAATATATTTACATCTTTTCTCTTATACTTAAGTAAATATCATATTTTTTTTATTTAGATGATTTGTTTAGATTGTAATTATTTATAAGAAATGTTGTTTGGTTGATTTGAGAAATTCTGTTTGCATTTTATATAGGTACTATTTAGTTAGGTAGGTTATATCTAACATCTCTAGTCTCTAGTTTAACTCTACGATCTTTAGATGTAGAGTAATTATGTATAAATAAACTACACGAGCAGAGTCGCACAGAAAACTTCTTTAAAATATCATTGTCGATCCATGAAACCAAGTATATATAATAATAATAATACAAAAATATGATTTTTAAAGAGTAACTACGAGTATTGAATTGCATTAGGGTCGTACATAAATCTCAGCTTTTCTTAGTTAAATGAAAATTTTCCGAGCCGGTGCGGCGGTTACTTTTCAAGCCCTTGCTATAACGAGAAGCTGACTCAACAAATATTTTGTAGAAAAATAATGATTTAGAAAAATAAAAAAAAAATGACTTTTACATTTAAGTCTATTTCTCTTATTTGGTTTGCTTATTAAAATTTAAAAATCATGATGAATGTAACTAACTTATTTACCTTACCATGTGATTATTATCACATGATAAATAAGTCGATTTAAAGTACATGTATTTATCCGCATGTTAAGCAGCAATTACAGCAAGAAAATGTCTCTACCAAACATAGACTTTATAATTAGATTATGGGTCTGTTTACCAATTACTTTTGGAAGATAAATTTTAATATACATTTTATTATCTATACATGTAATAAAATTCTAAGTCAAATCTGTACATTAAATATTTTTTCGAAAATGATTTTGATTAAATCTGGTATGGTCATAGCTGATTATCCGGGTCAACATATAGGATACTTTTTACCGCAGAAAAATATCTCATTTCTGAGAAAATATACAAAAACTGGTTAGAATAAAAAAAACGATTAAACTGGTTAGAATAAAAATATAGATTTTAGCAAGTTAACTTACTAAATATGTCAAAAAATATTAAAAATAGCTAATCTTGAAAAAGTATATCAATAGCACTATTTTATTTATACAAAAAATGATTTTAATGAATATTTATTTTTGTATTATTTAGATATTTGTTAATAGATGTCGCCATGTGTTTTTAAAATACGTAGTTTTAATTCCAAAAAATTGAATGTACAAATTCGACCTTTCTATGATTTTATTAGATTTTAAACCACAATCAAACTTTATTTGCCTATTAAATTAAAAATAATATTTGTTCACTGCAGTTCAAATATATGAAAAAAATAATTTAATTTTAAAACTGTCATAACGTTCATTTGCTTACTAATTAAAATGTAACAAACAAAGGAGTAATATAGACTCACTCTACAGCTTTAACTGTAAACAGACTATATTTTATTGCGAAATATAATATACGAGTACTCTCTTATATTTTAGAAATGTTAGCAAAAATGTGGCTTGTCCCAAAACTAATATGAAAATTATCTGCAGCCGTAACAGTGTAAATAGAGGTTATTGCGCGGAAACCTGGAAACCGCTGTGTGCTCCAGATAATTGGTACCGTAAATTTACTTCATAAGGTAGCGTCAACTGCCAAACTCAGCACACGGAACTTTAAAGTTAATTAGTAACTTAGATAGATAATTAAAATCTTTGCCGCCTGCGACAGTTTTGAACTAGAAAAGAAAATTATTAACAGTAGTATATAATATATTTTTGATACAAATAAATAATTAGCTTTCACATACTGCTCCGCTAGCTTGTTATGTTGGTAAAACATATTAATAATGTACGTTGTGTAGGTACGTTTTAAATTAAAATGGATATAGTATGTTATCCTTAAGAGATAGACATATGCCATCGCGGACTTTTCTGTAGACCTATATAAGATACACAATTCCACCATACATTATTTTGTTATATCTCAAAGGGTTTAGGCAGCGTTTTCGTTGAAAGCTCCGAGACGTCTTATTTTTTCCGACACCTACAACAAATATCGTTATATTTTAGCCAATGTATACAAAAAATTAACAAATTATATACTTAAACCTTCCTCTTGAATCACTCTATCTATTAAAAAACCGCATCAAAATCCGATGCGTAGTTTTAAAGATTTAAGCATAAATAGGGATATAGGGACAGAAAAAGTGACTTTGTTTTATACTATGTAGTGATAGGGTAGCTTCCTATTAGTGAAACTATTTTAATATGTACTGAGCTCTTTTTAACGTCCTATTGCTGAGCACGGGATTCCATTTACAACAAGGGTAGTCGGCGATAATCCACCATGATGGCTAAGTGCGAGTTGGCGAACTTCACATGTCTCTTGAAAACCTGCTAGGTTCTCTCACGATGTTTTCGTTCACCGTAAGACAAGTGGTATTCATGTGGGAAATGATTATCACATGAAAATATTAGAGGTGTGAGACTCGGGATTTCAATTAATCCAGAAAAAATCTCCCATTTTGTTAAATGTAATAATTTATATAATGTAGGTAGCAAAAACAAATAAAAATTTTACCAGCGTGTTCTAAACAAGCAACAGTAGTAACTCCATTTTATGAAACACGATAATAAATTAGTCTAAAATTGAAATAGTCAATTCTTTAGTTATAGATAAGGAAAAAATGTAAGTCATATACGTTTCTTTCTTTTATGTAGTAAGTACCTACCGCTTACCAAACAGAAATAAAAAGAACTTTTGGTTAGCACATACAAACAGCAATTCTGCCAGTACCGGCGTCTCGTGGCAGGTCAAGAGGCTATGACGCGTCCTCGACCCACACCACCTGAGACCGACTTTAAACTTAAATCTTATAGTAGCTTTCATTAAACCACGATAATACTTCAGACTTCATTTGTATTTAAATAGTAGTGCGAAGTACTACAATAACTACTAGAGTTCGAAGAATTGGACCCAGTTATGCAAAAAACAGCCATGTGCGTAAAATTACCAACAGAGTTATAAGCATTTTATTATAAAAAATAAAATACTTATATAAATATTGTTCAATTTTAAAATAACCAGAAAAACAAAACATAACCTAAGTACAACTATCGACACAAAAATGCTTATAACTCTGTTGGTCTTTTTACGCACATGGCTGTTTTTTGCATAACTGGGTTATTAATAGTTCACTACATATATCCAATAATATGTAAGTCATACTGATATTTCTCTTTCCCCAGAGCAGATAAATAGAAAATTATTTTTTATTTACTATATGCGTAGGCGTATACACAGGCGTAGACACCAGGTTTGACATTAAAATTTGCCTCGTGCAGGTATTGAACCCCGTGTATTCTCAGACAGAACACTCATGCGATCTTTTGTATTACTTCCTTGAACTTTATTTCCCCTAGCGACTACTATAAATTTATCTCTCCAAGATTTATTGTTGTAAAAGTTAAACGTCTACATGATTTTGAAATTTATTGTTCAAAAGTTTGCTCTTATATACGGTTTATTTTCTGTGTCCTTTGTTATGAGGAAATTTGAACAAACAGTACTTGTTTTGAATGTTAGTTTAATTAATTTGATTAATAATAAAATGTAATGTTATATTATTACCATAACATGCTCTGTAGAATAAACAATATGGGGACAATAAATAGATATAGAACAAAAATATTCGTAAACATGAACATTTGACATGAAAATTTGAATTTTGTTGTGAAATTCGAGTCACGAATAATTCAATCGACAATTTATTGTGAATTTTCGATGTGGGTTCTACGTGACGGTCAAATTGAACTTATTATTTAAAATTATTTTAAGCTTTGTTATCTGCTTCACAGTATAATTCACGTAAAATAGGGAGTTGTACGCTGTGTCAATAATATGCAACAAAGTTTGAACAGAACTTGCCTAATAACTCAAACAAAGTGTCCTGGTGCAACTATTTGATAGAGATTTGCATATGCTGCCCAACGTTGTATAAGCTTTAGAAGGTAATTCAGTTTTCCATCCAGCTTATAGCGTAAGCATTTTTCAGGAAACGCTTACGGTTACCAACCATTTACAAACACATTCCTTGTGTATAAAACTCTCCTCAAGTCTTGTCGAGAGTGTTTTTTTATTTCTTTGGCATATTATGAACGAGACATTTGATACTTGTTCTTGAAATATAATACAAAGCTTGTAATAAGTTTAAATGGCAGAACGCTTAAACTTATTTATAAAATAATGTTATTTTTAATGAAAGTTTTTATGGCTCAAAAGTTTGCGAAGAGGCCACTTTATAAATTTGAATAATTTTATATTTTAAAATAAAAAGTTATATCTATTTAGTATACATGCATCTTGTTAAATGTTTAAAATGAACTTGTTATGCTCTGATTAATAATAATGTCATAACTAGCACATCACAAGCTAGCTGTACACATCATTCTCCGATGCACTAACACTTACAATAACCGTTTACCGGGCTAGCGGTAACTTGTGTTTGTTTATAGCATATTTCATATTAATTACCAATTTGGAGCAGCGGCCATGACCGCAAACGGCCAGATGTGGTGAACACGGCCTGTCTACCCTGTCTACCTGTCTTCGCCAGCACTAGACCTATAAACCGATTACCGCACTTCTGCTCGTGATGCGGACTCATTCACTTAGATATAAACATAAGTATAGATGATGAAAATGTTCGTTTCTTATTCAAAATTCAATTAGTAGCTAATTTATTAGTATAGGTATAGTATATATATTAAAGATTATCTTGAAACCTAAATAGATGTCAACGGTGATTGTTTGAGATTAAGGCACGTGCCTGATTGCTTTTGCCTATTAATGATTCTACACAACACGGAATGAATGAGAATATCGATAGTTGAATATTGTCCGATAGTTTTGCTCCAGGATAATTTACTTAACAACCACTACACATAACTAGCGTTTCATATAAATTACATGTACAACGCTTCAATAATATTCAATACAATAATTTTATCTTTTCTTCTTAAAAAAATCCCTTTGTCAACAAGCCTTTGTCTAGAAGTAGCCAGATAAACAGAAAAAAAAAACACTGATAAACAGGCAAAAAATGAAAAAAAAATCGCTAGCTTCTTTTACATTTCAAATATCCCTTAAACATAAATCTTTTCCATAACATTTAACGTAAAACTTTGATCGCGTTATACTTTGGTCGTTTGTGTTGGTTCAAATAGTCATTTATTCCGGTCTAATTATGATAAAGCCAGCTTTGCCTCAATATGTGTGTAATGTTTCATTAACCCACAAGTAAAAACGCGTAAAGATATTTACTAAACACTTAAGTACACTCGTGTCGCTTGAGTGAACTTCTAGGTGCCTTTTGCCTATATTTTCCTCCAGTTTATTATTTATAATCTGTATACTAAAATTCATTGAAATCTATCCAACTGTTTCACGGTAAAAGAAGTAAGTAACATACACACATACAAACATTCACATAATATGCCCATATACGAGTAATATAGTAGTCCGATAAATATGTATAACTTAATAAGTAAATTCGGGTATAGTAATGTAACTAATTTTTTAATTTCATAAAGAGTAAGAAGCACTGAACAAAGCTTTTATAAATCACAAAAAATCTATTTACCATATTCTATTTGCCAAGAACATTTTAAGAGTAGGTAAATTGTAAGGTTAAATGAATTTTAAGAATAAATATTTTTTTGTTATAACTTGACTCGTTGTCCTATAGGTATAATGAAGAAAGAACAGTAGTTGCTTTTTAGTCTGTTCTATAAAATGGTATGGAACTACTCATCTATAAATATAATAAAACTCTAACTGATGTCTGTACATTAAATATTTTTCATAAATCTTACTGAAATAGTCATTGTTATCGATACAGAGGCTGAATGTATAGTTTTTGGAATTTTTGTCTGTCTGTCGGTCTCTCTGTTTGTTTGTCTGTAAAAGACATTTAATATTACAATGGCATGACCATGACGCTGAATGAATCGTGTAAAAATTCTTTAAAATACGCCGTATTAGTTGTGCAATTTCAGCTGGGTAACAGAAATAAGCAAATAATACATGCTGTACATAAATAGCCAATTTAATATAACGCAGCTGTTTCTACAAATTTGTAAATATTTACTAGGTTTGCATGGTTGTGATATCATATTGTTTATGAATATGTCCGAATTTTATATTAGATTCGATTTTTACGATAAACGAATACCAACGACATCTGCATTTAATATGGTTCTTTTTGTGGCAAGTGCTGCTATTTCTAACAGAAAAGCTTGGTTGGAAGTTTTTTTACTCTCCGCTAGGTGGCGCGCTTTAAAACATTCTCGTAGCAGCGCCCGCTACGATTTCGTAGAGAAACTACGATTGTTTTATGTAGCACTGTCGACTTGTAGAGTCTCTACGACTTAGGACTTTGACATAATGTTCCGTTTTTCCACAAGATGTCGCTTGTAACCTGACAATTTTAAAAATTACTTTTTATTAGGCTATAACCCATAACGGAAAATAAATGGTCTGGCACAAATTTTGTCAAAATAATCACCTTTTTTTTAATTTAGCCTGCTCTGCTAAATTGCTATGCAGCCATTATTCTACGTGGACACGGAAGTTATTTCATTTATCAACATTTAGTTTCTTTATGATATTTTGCCTAAGGTTAAATGAGATTATGGTTAACAAAGATTAATTAACACGTGATATTTGAAGGATATTATTTTTAAAGTTTTAGCTTTATTTCGCTATATATTACAAAGTATAAGATAAGATATCTGGGGGAAAGCGAATGTTAAGATAGAATGGCTTCTAAAAAAGTTATAGGTAAACAATTTAAAAACAGTTTCTAAAAATGATCTACTGGTATGATTATATTCGTGAATTATGTCAGTTTTTTTCGCACAATATCGTAATCAGTATTTATAAATGGCGCCTTCTATAAATTGTATTTTTTTAAAGTATAATTAATACAATAGTTTTGTAACGATAACATTTATTTTAAACTATTTGGTTATTTTTGATCATATTAGCGGAGAACGTAATATACAAATAATGTCCCAATCATTAATTTTGATAAAGTATTAAGCGAAATATTATGGCGAATCGATTAAAACACGTCTTTGATAAATAATATATTTGATGTTTAGAATACATTATGTATTTTTTTTGTAATAATACATTATCCTGTTTATATCTAAAAATAAATTCTTTCGATTTACTCATTATGAGAGTGTATAAAATGTTTTTGATTAAAGCTACTTAGTAAAATCCTTCAACCTTATTGAATAAAGAGTATCAAATAAAAATCTAAGGTATATTTAGAGGTATTTTTAATGATATGGTAAGTTTTAAATAAAACTATCTTTTCGGATTTTGTCGCGGATTTATTTGGATTTTTGTTTCCCGACGTTTCGAATGCTTTACAGCATCCATGGTCACGGGAGAGACAGTCTCTCTCTCTCTGTGTGTTTAGTGTAAAGTGTGAAATCAACAGAGGTCAAAACATATCCATATCGCGAAATTAGAATGTTGTGACCCTACAACTAAAGCCTATATATACCTCAAATTAATCAATTCCTATTGTTATTTGTTTCAGGTAAGCAAATCTTTGTACCTTCATATTCTACGGTATATTAGAATAACTTGACAGTCGTAAAAAGGTAAGTTAAAATTAAATTGAAAATTATAAATTCATAATTAAAAATACTTTTATATTTAAACAAAACAGCTTATTTATAATAATATGAAGTTTCGTCAATTTTAATGTACATCATTAGTATTTTCCGAGGTAAATTCAACTTTAAATCGTAATTATGTAATACAAAACAAGCTGAACATTTTTGGTCTATATATATGGAAATAATGTCATAATGGCTAGCATTCCAACAAAATACCGAAGTAATAGACTAATTTCTATTCTGTTTGCATTACACAAAATGATAGGCTACTAGTTAAAGCCGTAATAACACGTAAAATTTATATTTATATTATCTTCAGTATAGACTTGATACTACAAATTGGATACTAAAACGCATAGCATATTATTACTGTGTTGGTATATTTTCAGTTTATCTATAGATAACTTAGAGGAAAAATAATTATATTAAACAAGACAAATTGAATTTAAATTATACTAATATTATAAATACCAATATCATAAAACCCACAGTAAACGAGATTTTTGCAAAAATTGTGCAAAAAATCAATTTTTTGACCTGTGACCTTAGTTATTTGTAGACGGACACCCATCTTCAATTCCGAAGTGAAACCCCTAATTTGACTGGACTATAAAGTTTGTAAGTTTGTGAGTTTGTTTGTAATGAATAAAATAAAGGTTTTAATTTTATTCATAACCATATGCAGAACCGATTTACATGCAATTTGGTATGAAGAAAGTTAGTATCCTGGGAATGACATAGAATAGTGTTTTTATCCCATAAACCAATCCTTAAAGGTATGAAAAGGGGGATGATATTTTTGTATGAGAAATCAATCATTTATCAAGTATGGGATATCCATACTTACCGTTATACAATGAATGAATGTAAATTTGAGATTTGGGCAATTATAGCATACAAATTTATATACAATTAATGCTTTAAATTATTACTTAATATGTGGTGCAATAATTATTTAATTATAATTATCATAGTATAATTTTTACCGGTCGTACGTTTTAGCAGTCGTAGGGTTTACTATTTTATTTTGTAGTTGCATCGAATCAGATTCCATTTTTTATTGTTCTGGAAAAAGGCTTTAAATATTATTTTATTGTTAATAGTACTTAATTTTTATTAAAATTCTTGTATAATACAATCATATTATAATAATATCTAACATGTATATAATTTTATTCGGGGTCACAATAATAAAAATATTCCATTATAATTAAATATAAGAAATCTTATAACTTCCACTTCACTTCCGGAAGTTTGGAAAGTTATGGCCATAACTTATTATGCGCGAGTAATAATATAAGGCGCCAGGATAGTTTCACAAATTACTAACACGAAATATTTTCATCTTTTACTTAATCTTATTTTTATTATAAGAAATTTTATGTGTCTTTATCGTTGAGATATAATTATTTAAAAAATATATTATTATGTTTGTTCCCTGTTGTTGCTCGTTCTTGAATCAGTTTTGTTGTGATTTTATAAACTATAAAATTATCTATAACAAAACAGCAAAATTTAAGAAATCTGTACTGTGTCTGTAAATTTATATGTCGCTTGCCACGTTGTACCCACTATCTTACCTATTAAAGTTATATCTCTGGCTATATTGTAACGTAAACGAGCGCTGTTGTTCATATTCCCAACAATTGTTGCGGCCGGACGCTGCTACCATTTCCGTGTTCAATGCCTACCATTCATCCAAAATTCGACACGTTATCGAGCATTTATCCTGGTAATTATGGTCTACGCCGTACCCGTCCAGTTACGAGTATGTTCACTTTATTCACAGAAAATTCCTTTTCAAAACTTTTCTAAAATGCGAGTTTTTAATTTGCTTAGTACCAGCGAGGTGGTTTTACGTTTGCGGTTTGTTAGTTCTTTTTTGAGAAATGTTTGAATTTTTGTATTATTTTTCTTTTATCATGTTATTTATACATATATTATTTTGTTATTTCTTTTCCGGTTGTACTTG